CTTTAGCTGGTGTTTAGCTGCTGGTGTGGAACTTGTACGCTTTTATTGCTGCTTATAGAGTGGATTTTGTTATTTTATATTATAATTTTTCTATATACGCTGTTTTCTCGTTACATGGCAATACCTACCGGATATGAAGTGATAATTGTTAATTTCCTACGATCAAATATTATTTTTATTTATGTATGTCTATATATATTTGTTAATTTCCCATGATCAAATATTAATTTTATGTATGTATGTTTGTATATTTGATAATTCGCTATAAGCAAATATTATTCTTATATACATAATATGTTTATATGTACATATGTATATTTATTAATTTTCTATGAGCAAATATTATTTTTATATATGTATTTACATATATGTATATATTTATTAATTTTCTATGACCAAAGTAATGTATATATGTATGTATATTTAGATTTTCATATAGGTACATACATATGTATTTTTTTAAAAAAAAATTATTTTAAAAATATTTTTTAATATTTTGGATTATTAAATTTATTGTATAAACCAAGTTTATAGTCAACCAAAAATTTAATCAATTAAAAATAATAAAATTTTGTTGTTTAGGCCGTGTGGGAGTTAGAGTAAATTGAGGTAAAGTAAATTCAAATTTCTTAGGGATTTTATGCACTGCACTTATGTAAATATTTATTTATTTATTTATTGCACTTATTTTTCATTTTTGATTAAAAGTTTTCAAATTTATTTATTAAACGCCTTATAAAATTTTCAGAATGGTAACAACTTATTTAGCTAATATTTACCTAATTTACCCTACTCAAATTTCTGGTAAATACCAACATTCGCTGCCATACCAACATAATTTACTACTTCCCTCAAGTTACCGTCAATCTACTCGAACTCGCACACGGCCTTAATTAATTACTAGTCTACAGCCTCTCTATTAAAACAATAGTTTCTATTAGGAAAATAGTTTCTACCATCAAAATTAACTCTAAAATTAAATTTAGTATAAATATTTACATTTATTTATATATATTTTAATTTAATTATATATTTAATTATATATTTATTTTAATTTATATTTATATTGATTTGTTCACATTTGTTTATATTTATTTTTATTTATTTCCATTCATTTATATTTATTTATTTGTAAACATATGTTTAACAAACAAGCTCTAAAAGGATTCAAAACAAAGATTTCGAATAGAAGCAATGACTGTTCACCGATTTTTTCTAAAGATATGTTTTATATATATCTATTCTAATTTACAATTATTTCTCCAAAAAATGATAACTAGAATAACTTAAATATCAATTTTAAAGCACTTCAAAATAAAAATATACACAATCCAAAGAATCGTAAATTCGGGAGTCTAGAAACAATGGTTTCAGTATGCTAAACCTAGATCTGAAATTTCTATTAACAAAAAAGTTAAACAAAATCAAATAATCAGGCAGCCATTAAAGCTCATTGAAATTTCTTGGCAAATTATTGTGCCATAAATAAAGGTGTTAACGATTCATTATGCCAAAAAAAGAAATATTTATCAAACTTAAACTAAACATTTTATAATCTGTATCCTAATTTTAAGAAGGATGACATAAATATGTCATGTCCAAACTGTCGGCTAACTTGCCTGTGTCTATAACAGTTTGTTATATAGGATCATATTTCTCAATTCCTTCTCTATGATTTCATATACTCGTTTTCTCTAATTATAAAGTTTTATTAAATAATCGAAACTTCCTATCCTGCGATATGCAGATAGATAGATTTCTGTAAAGCCTAAGTTCTTGCGATCTAAACCTATAATAGATGTCTATAATGCGTAGAATTTGGCAAGAATCTTGTATTCAAATGCTGATACATAGCTATTATTTAAAAAATTTTTGGGGAATAAAAGTTTTGTGTATGTAGAGTGTAAAAGTTAGAATGCAAAGATCTAGTTAAAGTTTAGTCAGTGTAGACGCACGGTGATAGATAATATATAAACAGTTATAGTATAATATAGCATTATCATTTATAATTTATATTCATGTTTCACATTTTCTACTTCAGCTGGACTTTACCTATGCAGGATATATCAAATACCAAATGTAATAGATTTTTTTTTGACATCCACATCAAGAAATGCTAGAAATACAATTGTATCTAATGAAGCATAGGATGGTAATGGTTTTAATCACGGTAATATATGTTTAGGTAGTTTGTATTTTTTTAAAAATTGTTTTTAAAGTAAAAATAATAAAAATACTTAATGTAAGCCCTTTTTAAAAATGAATGATCCATGTATTCATTTCAATTACTATAAAATTTTAAAATGATGTATGTTAGAAGCCTAGAAATGGAGTCTACTAATTGCAAATTCAAAATGTAAATGTCTTTGTTAAAAGAACTCGTTAAAAAAGCTATTATTCTCCAATAAAAATAATTAGCAACAAATATTTTTTTTCCTAACTAATAGAGTTCACAAAAAAATATTTTATAATTAAAATATAACATGTTTGAATATTATATATATTAACGAATGTTCACTAAAGAGTTTACTGAGGACTTACTGTAGGGCATTTTGCTATGTTATAAATGCAGAAGAGTTGTAAGTGCGGTTTGTTATATGATAAATCTTTGACAATTGGTAGCACTACTTCTGGTAGTAAAATTTTACTAAAGCAATTTATTGTGGAATTTTAATAAAATTAGTATAAAAATTATTTTATTATTCATTTAATAGTAAAATAATTTAAATATACACTAAAAAATAATCATGTATGAAGTTAAAAGTGGAACTGTAGGATAGAAAAATACAGTTTGTTAGAATAAAAAGGCATTCTTAAGATAATCACTTGTCAAGAACTGTTGGTTATTCAAAACCTTGTTAATGGCCATTATAACAAGCAAAATAATAAAGAATAAACTAGCTTTCGATATTCAAAGAAGCAATAGAGATAATGGTTATATAAAGCATATGGTCTAGTTTTTCTATATTGAAGAAATATTTGAAGAAATAATAGAGATAATGGTTATATGAAACATATGGTAATATAGGAAATATAGAAAAACAAGTCTATAATAAAAAATTTAAAAGAAGAATTGATTCAATTCATATAAAATTAGTGTATTTCAAACATATCTTAATTTCAATATTTAATAAAAATTTTATATATTGTATATAAAATATAACTTTAAAATATGTAGATTAAAAACATAGTACACAATTTCAAATTAAAACAATACAATAGTGTCCCGTATTATTAAGACATACATAAATGTGAGATGTCTGCTTGACCAAAGACACTAAATAAACCTCATGTGATACTTAAACTAATTGATGCTTATAGTATTTAAAATACAAGTAGTCATCGAAATCTCTTCGCTACAAAACCTTTAGTGATGAAAACCCAGTATTTTAATAAAAATGGGCTTAACTGATATAACAGTTGTTAGTCTGTTATACCTCTTATAATGACAAAAAACTGTCGTTTGAGCTACGTACTCTGGACGGCCTCTTGACAAAATACCAAATCGATGATTCCAAGAGGGCTAACCGTTGGATATTGGAGTGATTTTAGTGGATTGAAGTGTCACACTGGCTTGCCTTTCGATTGTTTTACACCTCGTTACAAAAACACCCAAAAAAAGGTGTGTTATGGCTCTTAAACATATATGGTTGGACTTTATTTTTAGCATTCTAAAAAGAATGAATGAAACCCGACATCAGAAGACAGATACATACATATACATATACAGATACAACATGAAACCAACTGAAAAGCACCATTAATCCATTGACTATTCTTTAATTTCAAATCTCTAATCTTTAATTTGTTATATGGCAATGTAAACCCTCGCTAAAAGCAGAAGTGCTTTCCACTTTTAAGAAATTGTGTTATAGTGAATATGCATTATCAAACCTATTAGTACAAACTCAAATATGTTTTCAAATTTTTAATTTTCTTTGCGTTATATGCAATCTCGTTATAAGAGAGAGAGGTTGCGTATCTACTGTACACCATATTATAAGTACAGTAATCCATCCACACATTTATTTTCTTTGCTTATGACTACTTAAATTTATAATACATTTATGAGTGAAAACACACTTAAGTGTGAAGCATTTATAAGGGAAATATAAACCATTAGGACTATGAAATACTCTACAAAAGCCTGTTAAAACGACATTTGTTGTGTCGTGATTGACCTGTTATAGGTTTCTGGGTATTGATTAAGGAAATTGTATTCATTCTCACTAAAATTACCACTGTGCAGTTTTACCCGCTTAGCGATACAAAACATGGGAAAACTCGAACTCGTAGTCGCACATACAAAGAAACGAGTAAATAAGAGAAAAAGTAGAATATAAATAAAAACCAATTTCGAAATACAGGGGTTTACTCTGTGTGTGTGTGTGTGGTGTGGTGTGTGAAAATACGTGCAATGAAAGAGGGCCAAAACGCAAAATGAACTGAACGTTGTATGTTGATGGCATACGTCAAAAGATTGTCAGTGAAGGAGGACGTAAAAATATTTTCATAGGTGAAGAAAAATGATTAACGCGCCAAAAAAAGACAAATGTCACTATAAAAATACATCAGTGTAATTGTCAAAATATTCAAAGCTTAAAAATCACTTTACTTTAACGGTGTAATAAAATTGACGGTACATCCGTTTGTTTTCTCTATAATGAAATGAAATTTAATGCTTGTGGTGATTAAAGCGAAAATAAAAAAATTCTCTATACAATAAAAGTATCGTACAAATACAACAAAAGTTAAATGCTGAAAGCAATATAAATATGAGTATATCTGTACGTGCCCAGACATAAAAGTGGAATGAAGTAAAACGATAATATGTAGTAGATAGCAGAATTGTTCAAATAAAAGCAACACTTCAAGTGAACAGAAAACATTGAATCCATGACTTAATGAAAATTTTATTTATAATTTAAATTGAATGTAAAAATTATTGATGTAATTTTCTGTGTAGTTGACAAAATACTAAGAATTTAAAGAAAAAAAAAATAAAATAAAATATTTAAAAATTAAAAAAAAAACTAATTTAAAATTTTTCGGTCCGTTAAATAATATGCTAAAAGGAAAAAACTGAATCGAGGTCGATGTGATATTTAAGTGAAATAGCCATCGATAATAACATTTGAAAAACCAGTCACCGTTTATTATGTCAAATAAAAGTAAATCAAATTTAAATTTTATTTTCTCATATTTTTCGGACAAAAACGGAGCAATATCAGATGTAAAATTTGCAGTAAAATAAAATATATCTGAAAAATAAAAGAAAATCAACGTTCGGGTTTCCATCTCTCTCGCACCATATCGTAAGTAAAACGTATGTGCGAGCGTAACAACTGTCTTATTATACCAGTATACCAGCAACGAACGGGTGCAAATGTCAAGAAAAAATTTATAGTAATCAACAAATACAATTTCAAGCATTGAATTCTCAAACCCACCAAAATAGAAGTGAAGAAGAGAATACAAAACACCAAAATGATGCAACTTCAAGAACAGCAATATCAATCCCATAATATGCCATTATATTACCCTAACAGCATGTGTCATACAAATTCTGTGAATTCTGTGAAAAGCACTGAATCCCAAACTTCAAGTTTTCTATCAGATAGTGCCTCAACCTCCAATTCATCAATTAGTACAACAAATTCATCTAAAAGTACACCCACTCTTGGCGTAAACCTGCGTGTTACCGGTCAGTGTAGCCAAGGTGGACGGAAGTATATGGAAGACTACTTTTCAGTTGCATACCAACAGTCCGATAATGCAAAAGACTTAGAGTATGCATTTATAGGAATTTATGATGGGCATGGTGGTGCCGAGGCAGCTGCATTTGCTAAACAACATTTGATGATGGAAATCATAAATCAAAAACTTTTTTGGTCGGATTCTGATCAAGATGTATTACGTGCTATCCGTGAGGGCTACGTTGCTACACATTATGCAATGTGGCGAGAACAAGGTTTGTTTAATAAAATTTCAAATATAAATTATTTGGGTTATTTAGTAAATGTTAATTATAAAAACAACACTACAATATGCTATGAAAGAATTAGTTTCTTCTTAAACCAACTAACTTCCTCTACAAACAATTTCACCACTAAACAAGTAAATAGCACAACCTTAATTTTTGAATTCTCTTTCACACCGTTCTGGTTTGTGTATTTACCGAATACATTTTGACGTATATACTCGTAATACGTTCAGTGCTCGTTTAGCTATGTAGTCAGTCTGCAGCAGTGTACTGAACGTAGAGTGGAATATTCCTACCACTACATCAAAATGCAGCACGGTTCCCTGTTGATAAACACATACAGAGGAGGCTACTACAATTGTGTGGCGTATATAAAGTTTTTTTCATGAGTCAGAGTGGTTGTAAAACGCAAACTTAGGTATAGAAATGGAAATTTTTAGATTTTAAGTACTTTTGTTGTTGAATTGAATGTATAAAATATGTATTTATGTAACTAAATTATATTTAATAATATAATATTGTTATAATATAATATTATATTACTTTAAGTTATAATTGATGCATATACGCATTACATTTATTAGATAAAATTAAAATGAAATATGCAATTTTTACGTAATTACTAAATTACTAACAGCTTGCAAGAAAATGCATAGTTGCAGTTTACGTTTTAACCGCTAAATAATATGAAATGCCTCTACTCTACTCTACTGTCTATCAAATATATTGAACAACCAACAATTACCTTGGGGGAAACAACTCTGGCTGACTTAATTTTATATATTCACCTTTTACCCCATACCAACTTGACAACATTATTATTACCCCATACTTGTTTTTGTATTTTTGTTATTTTCTTTTTTTTCACAATAATCATTTGATTTTTGACAGAATTCATCCCACCTAAATTATTTGCTAATTTTTGTTTTCCGTCCTATTCTACCTTCTTATTTTTTTTCTTTTGTTGTTATCGAACTATTTGTTGTGATTACCAAATCCGCCAAATTTATATGTGCCGATTAGTGTAGTATGCGGGTGCGAAGAGAAATCAGAGGCTGTGTAAAAAGTAAACAAAAATAAGCGAATCTAAAAATTAATCATAGGCTTTTTTTATTAGCATAAATAATATTCAGCTAAAAAGTATTAGTTTATAATTTATTTTTATTATAATGATTATTAGTTAATTTTTGAACTGAGAGTGACGTGTCATACATCATAATTTAAAGTAGTTCTATAAAAAAATAAAAAAGTATTGATGTTAAATAATTATGACCACATATATCTCTACTTAATATCATATATTTATCTCCACATGATATCACAATGGATTGTACAATTATATGCATTACTTATTTATGACTGAGATATAGTATTTTTATATGCACCGATGAAAGTTTATGCAAAAAATTATAAAACATAATTGAAATGGAGCGGATTATTTTAAAAGAAAAGGTTAGCTGAGAGTGATGGCCTTGTGACCAAACCCCACTTGTGCTCAAATAATGGGCCGTTGTCATATCACAATATCGTTTTTACGCAGACTATAGGTCAGCGTACGAAAAATACCGAAAGTCACAACTCCCTCATTAAAGTTAAAGTAAACTAACCTGACACGTCTTTAAGATTGACCAAGTCTCTAATTGTGCATGATGACAGCTCTGCCAGGTTAGTAAGAAAAGCGGCCCGATTATATTTATTTCATAAGGAAGATATTCACGCAATTGGGAAAAGTCAATTATACAAATCTAATAAAAGTTAATGGAAAAATAACTATATAATATAGTTATTATATATATTATAAATTAATTATATTATATTTTATTGTGATGAGTATATTATTATTTATTATTATTATGACATGCTCCAAAAGTACAAATAATTAGAAATTGATTGCATATCTAAGAACTTATGCATTCTACAAAAAGTTTCCAGTTGTCTCTATTCCGTGTCATATATTTAAGTTCGTTAAACGATTTGAATATTTCGGTGAATACTGTTCGTCTCCGTGTTGTCTTTGGACGTCCTCTTGTTCTTGATCCACCCGGTTTCCATTCTTAGGCTGAAGAAGCTATACTGTGCGTATCTTTTCTTAGCATATACCGAATCGTATTTTCACTTTCTGATATCATTTATTATACCAATTTTTTAGACGTGGCCATTATTACATATATTAATATATAATTCACATAACCCTTAATCAATATAAAAAAAATATGTTATAGAGGGAAGTTCAAAAAAATCCAATAAATGTATTATAAGCAGTACCTACACAATATACATAATATTAAATCAATTATAATACATTTAATTTTTTTTTTCTAGAAAAATGGCCAAAAACTGCAAACGGCTTACCCAGCACAGCTGGTACTACAGCTACAATTGCATTTATACGCCGAGAGAAAATATATATTGGTCATGTCGGCGATTCTGCAATTGTACTGGGGTACCAGAATGAAAATGAAAATTTTTGGAGAGCCAAACAATTAACTACAGATCACAAACCAGAATCACAAGCGGAACGTACACGTATCAATCGATCTGGTGGTAAAGTCATTGTAAAATCTGGGGTACCTCGAGTTGTTTGGAATCGACCACGAAATGGTAAATATTACAATATAATTAATATACTGTATTTGAAAATTATTTATTTTAAATTTTTTCTTTTGTTTATATTTAGCAATGCATAAAGGACCGATACGTCGTAATACACCCGTTGATGAAATTCCATTTTTGGCAGTGGCTCGTAGTTTGGGTGACCTTTGGAGTTATAATTCAGCACGTAATGAGTTTATTGTAAGTCCAGATCCGGATGTGTCTGTAATTAGAATTGATCCAAAGTCTTTTAGGTAAGTGTACATATCTATATTTACGTTTAACAATTGTTGATATATTTTTGTATAGGACAAAGCACTAGATTCTTCTCCCCATATACCATAACTGTAGTATAATGTTATTAAATTTATTAAAATTATATAATTTATTATTGATTTATTTGTAAGTTAACACAAAAATTTATTTTAAAGTTAATTAAAGAATTAAACAACAATTTCAAACTTAAAGTGAAGTTCCGGAACGCATAACCGATTGTTGGCTTGGTTCAGTGCTAGTTAAGTTGGTATGACGATTTCACTTACGCCAAATAACCCATTGCTATAAATAATAGATATGCAGTTGTTTTGATAGCCGTGGGATATAATTAGTTGTTTTAGTTTTTATTAAAATTAGAAAATATTATAATTGGTACTAAGTATTCTGAGATCTTTGTATCGTTCAATATTACAACTATAGAAGACAATTCAAGTTTATCTTTCACTTTATTTAGTGTTAAATGGATAAACATAGCTAGATCAATTAGTATCATCAAGTTGGTCAAAAATATGTATAATATGATCTAAAAGTCAATTATGACGTAAGTAACGTCACCTAGACCCGGGCTGATTTCAATTAAATCCCACCCATCAACCATCATCCATCCACATCTCATCCAATGTATTCGTCTTATTAATTTATGTTAACTGCTTTTAGGTCCCGCGGGTTACAACAACAACAACAAAGGAAATCATTTCTCTTAATAGAAAGATCTTAATAGAAATATTTATACTTTAATGGTTTACTTATTTGTTTTATTCATTGCAGAATAATTTTTTTTTGTCATGTTTTATATGAATATCCCATGAAACTTTACCTTAAGGGTAAAAAATTCGAAATGCTATTATTTAAAGACTTATTTATTTTTGTACATGACTTCGGTATATATAATTTTATATATATTAATAATAAAAATTCGAGTTAATATATAATAACCATTTAATTTTGATTTTTTTTTAGATGTTTAATATTTGGTACTGATGGTCTGTGGAATGTCGTTACCGCAAAAGATGCAGTGGACACAGTTTATGCTAAAGAACGTATCAATCAAAAACTGAAATTACAAATGAATTCAGCCGAAGACGTACAATGGACAAATCCTAGTAAGAGTCTAGTGGAGAAAGCATTAAGAACTTGGTCTTCGAAGAAAATGCGTGCTGATAATACTTCAGTCGTAACAGTATTACTTTATCCTGCTAGTAATTCAGAAATTATTGAACCAAATAGTGTACCCAGTAGCTATGGCACAGAATATACTGAATTAGATGCAGAAATACCTTCCTTTGATGATACAACTACGTTCCATGAAATATCGGAGAAGTACTTACCTCCTGAAGAATATCGTAATTTCAATTATTACGATGATGAAGAGGATTTGAAATCAATTGAAGAAAACTTTAAGCCTGATCCAATGGTATTTAAATATAATCGCCCAGATTTAATAAATTGGCGAAACACTTATAATAAAATCGAAGAAACAAAATGTTATGCCGATGATAATAACTCATGGCAGTGGTATGCTGATTCTAATAAGAAATACGATAACCATGTTAAGAATTGTAATAATCCAAATAATGCATATGAGGATCACGAAGACATGAACAGTGATGATATGATTGAAAATGAAATTTCCGTTTCAGATTATCCAAGATATATTGCTGATACTTCAAATTCTATACGTTCAAATATTTCAGCAGAAGCACACGAAACAAATGGTTATATGAATAGTTTTGCCGAGTCTTACAATTCTCTTCTTTCAGATCAAATAACTGAAGATGCAAATACATCTAATTCAAATGCTTCATACCAAAGTGTAACAGGTACAAATATGAATGATATACTACAAGAACAACAGTTATATCAACAGCAATGTATGTCTGATGAAGATGGTTACAGTTTGACAAAATTGGAGACTCGTGGAGAACAGCAGCGTAGCGGTGATGTACAAACCTTCAAAATATTTCAACAGCATAATGCTGCTTTAAATTCAAATAATTATGAACAGCAGCCAGCACAGGAAACGAATGAAGAAACTAGTTATTGGGATATGCGATATCAATCGCTACCCAATAATGTCAACCGCTACAGTATGTATCCACAACAGACACAACAACAGAAGCTTTTAGAACTAAATTCTGTTTTGCAACAGGAGCGTGAAGAGGAGCAGCAAGTAGCTTTAGAACGTATGCAGCTCCAACGTAAAATGGATAACTCTTCATTGTCTTCAAATTCTAATAGTTATCACTGTTTACAGCCTGTTTCGCCGGAAGAAACTTTAGAAGATTCCCTGTTCGAGGAATATCTAGAGGACGATCATGAGGATAGTGTGCAAATTAATGAAATAACTTCCAGTATAGACATTTCAGACGATGAAGTAAACTCAAGGAAAGACGTAGAAGCGCTGTTAGAAATGTCAAATGAAAAAACATTTAATGCCGATTTAATGTATCCTATCTTCGAGAAGCTTGAAAAAATTGAAATACTGTGCAAAAAGCCTGATGTGATAACTGAAGCAACTTACAAACATATGACGCACAAAAATACTCACCTATCATCTAACAAACCACGCGATACTTACAACACAACTATTAAACCACTTTTACCAACACATTACAGAAATGTACCGAATGAAAATCAAAACTTGAGCATTACAGCATCCACACATCCACTTCATAAGACTAAAAGATATGTACATTCGGCGCCCGTAAAGCCTGAGCCAGTTTCGTCAACACCAGAAAAACGCCAATTACGCAGTAGTGGTATTCGAGATTATTGTAAACGTACCTTACGTACACGTAACTCACTCACAAAGGATATGAAAGCGAAGCCCACGGTATCAACATCTATAAAACGTAATTTAGGCAATACGACACCATATGTTCGTAGCACCGCAGCGAACATGCAAGAAAATGCCAAAAATTTAAATGACCGCCACCATCCTGTTAAGCCATCCACAAGCAAACCTTCAATTCATTACACTCACAGCCCACAATTTATAAACAATTGCAGTACAACTAAGGGAAGGAAACCAGATGCAAATAAGCACTCAATGCTAACAGCATCAGCAGTAAATGCAGCCATGTCACATGTGATAAACTTACGTTCCCGTGTCATCAACCAAATCGTTGGAAACACAATGATGTCGCCAAATGCTGGCTTTAGTTCAACACCATCGCCGCGACATGAGCAACGCAATTTGCGCAGCTTGAACACCAGAAATTCCACCCGAGAAAGCAGCAACTCAAGCACAACAAACTACAGCAAGTCCTCTCGTATGCAATCAACATTGAATGCCCTTGCTTCAACACCGCCAACACCCAAATTGATCAATGCAACTACTGTGGTATTAGCGGCGACTCGGGCGCGATCCATGCTCTCGCAGAAGAATGCCACGGTTTCAAATGTCTTCACGAAACGTTCCTCTTTGCGTAGCAGTACTGGAAGTTCTACCAGCTTGAATGGCGGTAATAACCAATACTTGGTGACGCGAAGCCGTGCAGCTAGAAAACTCAAACGTTGAACGCAATCCAAAATTCATATTATTATAACCAAATTAGTTCGCTTAAATAGTCTTTAACTTTTTTGTAAAAGCAACAACAAATAAACGTAATGCTGCATGCAACAACAATGCTGTGATTGCACACAATATTACGTTTATTCGTATTGTTTCGTTTAAAATTTATTTAAAGATATATTTTAAAGAAAATTATAAATAGACAAATATGAACTCATTAGTACAAAATTGCCTAAAATATGAAATAAATTTTAATAAGTATAATATATTTTAAATTTTTCTTTAGAAGCAACTGTTACATAAACTACATGCATACATGAAGAATAGGTGTATAGAGATGATCCATAGATACATGTGATCACGTGCAATGTATAAAATATATAGAAATATATGTATTTAAGAACTTAGTTGTAAGTACATGTTAGTAAATAGTTTGTACAATATATTAAGTAATTAGTTATAGGTTTAGTATATGCTAAATTTCTTCCAAAAAAAAAAAACAAAATATAAAAAGTAATTGTAAATTTTTCAAAATTAAGATATTAAGATGTCCTGTTAAAATTTAAATTTAAATTTTTAGCTGCATTAATAACAAAAACGGAAATTAATATGTAAGATTTATCCGCTAAAGTATTAAATTTTACTATATATTAGAGTTAACTGTCTGCATTATGTATTTATAATATATAAGATATATGTCACTTAAACAAGATGCTATTAATTTTAATAATAAAAAAAAAAGATATAGTTCGCTAGCTTTAGTAACGAAAATGTAAATATATAACGATTAATTCAAAATGTCGATTAAAATGCTAATTACTTCGAATAATATTTTTAAACTGAATTTATTATTATGTGAAAATCAATTTATTTAATTGTAAAAATTTAGATTTAATTATGTAAAATTTTGTATATTAGGCTAAGTTTTTGTTAAATTTTAAAAATTTATTCATGCCTTTGTGTTTTATGATTTGAGTTAATACTCTTAAGACATCAAGATAATATATAAATATATATTTTTCAAAGAATACACGTAATTGTAGTATATTATTTATTATTATATTGAGCACTTTTACTCTCTATTAACTGCGAGGTTTCTTCATAAGCCCTCTCTACCCCTTGACTGGGTTATAATTTATCACTTCATCAGACTAAGCAATAATTGACCTTAAATCTGCATACCTCCCCAAAGAACCTGTAACCGTAACCATTCTGAGATTCGATAACGCGCTGTTGGTAAGCCTGTCAGTTTTCGTAAATAATTTCAAGTCTTTATCCGTTATGTATTTTTTGATCGTATCAATCTTGAGGTCCCTGAGGATGTCATTCATCCTTATGTACCATGGTACCTTGAAAAGTCTTCTCAGAGCCTGTCTTTGTGCAATTTCTAGCTGGCGAATAGTAGTGTTTGAGGCTTTACTAAACGCTACACATCCATATAGAAGTGACGTTCGAAATGTTTGGTTATATAACAGCTGCTTGTTTTTAGCATTGAGATTTTCATTTTTGAATAGCGATTGAAGGTGATGAAGAATTTTGGCACAGCTAATACTTTTCAGTTGAATATGTTTAGGCCATGTGAATCATTTGTCCTCCGCGATGCCTAGATATTTAATGGTATCCTCCCAGTTTATTACCATATCTCCCACTCGCACTCTCGACGGGTTCTGTCTTTACTTACGCGTAATAAACAGAGCCTTAGTTTTTTCATTGTTGATTTTTATTATTTGTAGGTAACGTTAATATAACAAAATAAAATCTGTTCAAGTAACACTTACTACAATACGGTCTACCTGTCCGACTATTTTAATAAACAATACCCAATTATCGCAAGCTGTGGAAACAAAATACTTGGGAATACACGTGGATAGTAAACTAAACTGGAGTACGCATATATATTTAAAAAGCGTAAGGCCTACGGTCTTAGATTGCGAATCTTATTTTGGTTCCTCAGTCGAAATTCCCAACTGTCACTCGATAATAAGCTGCTAATATACAAAACTGTACTAAAATCTATATGGAGTTATGAAGTCCAATTTTATACCTAAACCTGGCAACTATCCAGCGGTTCCAATCTAAAATACTACGCATGATTACAAATGTACCTTGATACATAACATATGTACAGCTGCATAAACAACTACGTGTTCCGATAATTAAGGAAGAAATGTCCTGAATTATAAAGAACTATGTTCATCGCATATATATACACTTAAACCCACTGATTACACACCTGGTATCTCCTTCCAACACTTTTACAAGGCTGAGAAGAAAAATTTCGAGACACGTCTTAAATATTAATATGTAGGTCAAAAAATTTTTTTAAGTATATCGGATATGTTACTGGGCACATAATCCACACGCACCTTTTTTTTCTTAGCTCGTAGTAAATATTACTTATTGTCATTCATATTAGCAGAATGTAATAAAATAAATGAATTAAAAAAAAAAAGAAAAAATTTGTAGGTTACAACAGACGAGACGAAAGTTAAAATCAAAGTTTAAATGAAAAAATTAATTATAGGTAAAGCAATTAAATTTTTTGCAAAAGTAGATTAACTCAGAAATTCAATACTATGTATACTTGGAAATCTAGGACAAACCATAATAGATGATATGCAGATCAAAGGAGTCTTATAATAAAAAAAGACTTAAAAAGAGTATCTACTAAAATAAAACAACAGATATCAGTATTTATTCATATGAATACGCATAATCCATAACTTTTGAACGTGATATATGTTTGAATATAGTTTATTTCTTGGAAGGGAGCGAAGCACATCTAACAGTTCTGCTGTTCTTTGGGTCACAGTATCCGGTTGGAAAATGCAACTCGACATCGAATGAAAGAAAATAAATAGTCATTATACACGCGTAAGTTTGGATTATAACTACAATCACGATGCTCTTAGTGAGAGGCTAAATTCTGTTGGTCAGGAAAGACTGTGAGTTCTGACCCCCGTAATACAAACTTTCTATCTCCGGTAGGATGGTGAAAATGAAACTCACTCACTACAAGTTATACTCAAACAGTATCGGTAGGTGTCTACTGCATTTTAGTTGCCTCTTACAACAGGCATGTCTTACCTTGGAAAACCTAGCATGCGTGTCTTCCCTCCATCCCGAAGGGTGAGTAAGCCGACTCAGAGTCTAGAGTGATTAACGTGAGTACCTGCCGTTAAAGCTTACCACAACGGTGTTCTGAACACACTTATCAAGTTAAAACGCTCCATTGGTGTTCCAAGGAATTTCCGCTGGTATTAGTTGAACTTATGGTTTGGACATAACTTAACTCTTGGTAAGGAGAGAGGCGTATTTAACATCTCTGTTGAGGGTTGGGTGACAGCACCCGGTATGAATACGCAGCTTTATGCCGAAGGCATACAGAAAACAATATTAATATATGATTTTTCTGAGTAAGAAGTGTTGATAATACTTTAGTTAAAACTCAGTGCCATAAGTTAGATTCCGGATATGTGGTCATCATTCTTGCTTTTAACAATTCAAAGGCATATTTATATTGAATGTTGTGGTGTTATTTGATAAATTAAAAAATTTTTACTTTTTTAGAATATCTTCTTTGTAGGCTTATGTACATATATACATGTATATTACTTTTACTTGGGCAACAAAAAAAGAGGTGAATCTTCACAGTTACTATTGCCATAGTCATTATTATATGAATATTTACGAAGTTTTAGACGAATGCGAAACCACAAGTATCAGCAGGATACTCAAACTAGAAAACTAACCAGACAAGGTTAGTGTTGATAGTAATAGATTATATATATACATACTCTGGTGTCGCTGGGGCCTAATATGTTTATGCGACGTCTAGTCGGCTTAACCGGTACTATCAAAGCAATTTAAATTCAGTGTCAACAGTTATCTGAATATAAGTAATATAATATATATGTATAAAAATTTATACATATATGTATATACATATTTTTATATATATGTACACGCACGTAACTAAGTAAGGATAGGGGTGGTGCGTCTCTCTCTATATCCTAATGCGTTGCTATATTTTAACAAAAATTAAAGTTTAATTTTTAATTAATTTAATTATTAAACACTCCTTCCTAGTAGTCTATTATTTATTTTAAATTGCTGCTGTAGCAGTATGATTGTGACCAGAAGTTGATGTGGAGAATAAAAGAGCTCATACTAAAAATAACAACTTTTTCATTTCAGTATATTAACGCCCCCTTCAATTCGCTTCTGAGTACACACATTACGCCCATGCATATGTATATAGTTGGAATGTAAGAAATAATTAAAGTGATGTGTTACTACTCCAGAATTGCCCAATGACACATTTACGGAAGAAAGGCTGTCTGATTTAGATCTGCTAGGTTTTATTTTATTAAAAATATAAAAAAATAATAATGAAATATTTTTTGTATATAAACGAAAATTGTTTCTAACAAGTGATGATAATATTATTAACAAATTTAACGTGCTTAATTTTAACAAGCGTAAAATTTTTTTATTATTTTAATTTAATTATGTACTCGTAACTCGTATATAAAACGAGGCTCATATCATATCAGGCTCAGGTATAGGCACTCAAATATTAACATAAACAATTTATGGATAATTCAGATTAGTAATTATAATAACCAATTAAAACACATTATTTTGATCGCCATGCGATAACGTCTTGTGGAAAAAAAGGAGTGCGTTGCATTAAAAATTCAAAATTTTGGAGTTCATAGGACAAGTTCAATGTCAGTGCGAACGGCTTACGTTAAAGCAATTGGCTTATGTTTAATTACTGTTTTATTATCAAAAACAAAAACTCAAAACAAAAAACTGTTAAAATAATAATTTTATTTTATTTAATTATTTTCATTAAATTAACACTTAAAGCATTTAAGAGCATTTAAGAGCTTCCACTTCCTTACTTCAATTATAGGCATTTGTCATAGTTGCACATGTTGTTGTTGTTGTTCCCACTGCGACTTTAGTCGTATTCCTATATGATATATTGGCAGCTGTCAGTGTGAACGGTTAATCAACTGTTTATTGAAGTCGTTTTAATTTTTGACACTCGTCCGTTTTTGTTTGTTTTTATAATTGGGGTAAACCCGTTTCTTGAGAATTTAGCTTTAATGCTACGGAGTTTAACATATTAATTTCATCGGGGTAATTTTCGGAATGAATATGCGTATCTTGACTTGACTTAATTTTAATGAATCACTTCATTTAGAATAAATTAGCACAATTAATATTAATTTAAAGATTTTAATTTAAATATAGACGTTCATTTAGATATATGTATATAAACAAGTTCAAAGATAAAATAATGTTAATTTCTTTTTTTTCGTAATATTCATATAATATTTTTTAGGAAAATAATTTTAAAAATTCTAGCTATGAATAGATATTTATAAGTTAATAAATTTAAAATAATAGATAATGATAAACGTATAAACATAAACATGTGGAATGACGACAAAAAAATATGGGTAA